TGGTGAGCAGAAGAGACTTCTTTAAAAAAATAATAAAAACCTTTTGACTAATAGTGTATATTTTTTTGTAAAATTTTACATTTAATTATTTTTGTACAAATGCCTTGAACCGAGCCCGAGCGCGATTATCCCCCCCACTCCCCCGCAAGTGCACTCACACTTGCACTTGTTTTTTTTTTTTTTTTTTTTTTTACATTTGTGAATAAAAAAAAACATAAAAAATTATTGTCATGTAATTGACCCTTAAACAAAACCTTCTGCCTGCCAAACAACATAAACCATGATATTCATATAGAGGAGCATATGTTACATTTGTGAATAAAGAATTTTAATATAAAAAGTAAACTATTTACAACAAAGTCTACATTTTTGTCCACCAAATGCACTCCAAATTTCACCATGTGCCAAGTAATAGATGGAAAAATAAATACTCTTTCTTTTATCCAATTACCTACTTCAGTCCAAAATGAATTAACCAAATTACAATAAAGAAATAAATGTTCAACAGTTTCTACATAATCATTATTATTGGCCACGTTCACACAGCAGCAGAATACGGTTGTATTTGAGTCCTTTTTTTTTTTTATGCTTTATTAATTAAATGCCACAAGAACATGAGGTATTACATATTCACATTATCAAATTAACATTATTAGCTGCCAGAGAAAGAAAGAAAAAAAAGGAAGAAAATTACATAAAGTTCAATGCTTTCAGAGCATTACATGTTTTCAATGCTTTTTTGTGGATATATTGCATTCTGCAGAGAAGGAAGACTGCCGTTTGTCGCGGTTTGGAAAAATAGTCAGAAAATTATTACGGAGGCAGCTGATGTTAATGAAATCATTTGCAGCTTTCTTGCAAACTACATTTCCTGTTCATCAATAAGGTAAGAACCAGACCCATTATAAACCTAAATATACTTAATTAAATTAATTGAAAAGTGTAGTGTAGTAGTAGAAATAGAATATGTTTGCGGTCGTAATGATGACAGTAGCGCACACAAAATAGTATCTGTTCCCTGCTCCGGCGCGGTTAGCACTCACACTGCATGCGTACCGCGCCCGAGCCCAACCGAACCGTGCCCTGGCCCACCTCTTCCAACCGGGCCAGGGCCGGCTAAACGAACCGCGCCCGAGCGCGGCACGGAGCGCTCACACTAGTAAAACGAACCGGGCTTTGGGGGTGAAACGCGCTCGGGCGCGGTTCAAAACGCCTAATGTGAGTACACCCTAATCAATGCAAGCGTTTTAGGGGCTATTATGATGACGAAATCAGCTCCGTGTATTAGACATATTAAATATTAGATTTAAGTTGTGCCATTTTAACCCTTGACATCCTTTACAAAAACAAGAAAACGTTTATTAGTAAAACGAAGGACAATATTATTTTATTCAGATCCCCAAAACTTCCATAAATTGCTTCGCCATACTTCCGGGTTTCCCCGGTACGGGGCTAGGGAAATCACAAGGTGACGTATTTAATATGGGCGTGGCTTCTAACGTCACACTCGGTTGTGGGCGGGGTTGTATCGGGGATGGGCGTGACTTCCGACGTCACACGTTGATGTGGGCGGGGTTGGATGTCCACCGCAGGCTGCAGCGAGCCCTACTTGAGAAGAACGAGAATGTCACATGACGGGAATGTGGAGATGGGTTTGGCGGGTGAACGGTGGGGGAGGAGAGGAGGCGGTTGGCGACACTAGGGTGTGACTGGAGCAGAGATGGTAGTCAGCTATGCAACTGTGTGATCATGGCGGATCCGGGAGGAGAGTCACTGGAGTCATGGCTAAGTGAGTTGTTATGCTAATACATTAGTAGAATACGATTTAATTGTACTCTGTAACGTCTTTAAGACAAGCAGTCACATCCAGATGCTGTTTGTGACCAGTTGTTTTGTCATGGAGTCTCTGTGATATTTAGACTTTCATGATGGTTAGACGGAATATAAACTGATCCTTCCTAGACTGCATTTTAAGGTGTGATAGGTGCGTTCCAATTCAGCAGAATATTTGGGTCGAACCGAACGTTCGAACGCGTCTATTATGCACCTAAATGCATTTAGGTTACTTAGGCGGCTCACTAGGTTTTGAGACACAGACGCATTTGTGATTTGCAAGCTCATCTCTCATCTACCATTATTAAACTCCTTTTGAACTGCTGTTGCCTAAAACAGTTTAACTGAACACTTCTTTATTATCTCTAAAACAGTTGCTTCAGTTTTATGTAGAAAACCAAACATTTTGTCTTAACCTTCATTGGCATGTTGCACAGTTAAATGTAATGTAAATAGTATACGAAATGTGAACAGTTTAATTAATGTAAACTTTAATCACAGTGTATGATTCCACGTTTATTTTAGTGCTGCATCTGTGACAAATGGATTACTTTCTTCTATCCTAAGTCTCTTGGGATAAAAACATCTGCTAAATGCACAAATTTAGATTTATTATGACCTTATTTAATCATTTGTTAATTCAAATTTTTGGGAAACAAAAGTAAAGAATAAGATTAACAACTGATAAGTAATGCTATTTAGTTTTCGTTTGAAAATTGTGATATTAGTGAGATTTTTATTGTTAGACAAAGCCACCAATCCTTCCAACAGACAGGAGGAGTGGGAGTACATCATTGGGTTCTGCGACCAAATCAATAAAGAACTTGAGGGGTATGTTTACCTTTTATAACTGGTATATGAAACTAATACATGGGGACACTATGTTTGTGTTTCTTCTCGTGAATCAAGTGAGAATTTTGTCTGTATCTTGCAGCCCACAGATCTCGGTCAGATTATTAGCACATAAAATCCAGTCGCCTCAAGACTGGGAATCATTACAAGCACTAACTGAGTTTATCTCATTCCGTCTCTTAAATGAAACAAAAAGATATATTTTTTAATAAAATGACTAACTAAATTCAGATCTTCATTAGGTTTTAGAAGCTTGCATGAAGAACTGTGGGAGAAGATTTTATAACGAAGTTGGAAAATTTAGATTTTTAAATTAACTCATCAAAGTAGTTTCACCAAAGGTAATGACAATTTTGTCTTCATTTACTCATTTCAAACCTGTATGACTTTCTTGCTTTCATTTTGCTTGCTTTTGCTTTTTTAAAAGTAAACTAACCATTTAATACAGAAAAATCAACAAATGTTTTAATGTCTCTATAATGTATATACCATATATGATCTTATTTATGCTTTTTATCCTACAGTATTTGGGAGACAGAGTATCTGAACGAGTGAAGACTAAAGTAATAGAGTTGCTTTACAGCTGGTCAGTTGCGTTACCCGATGAGGCAAAGATCATAGAGGCCTATCAAATGCTAAAGAAGCAAGGTTCTTTCATCACAAATATAAACATTTACTTTTATAGGAATATCACCTACTTAATTTCTGTGTTCCAAATTTGCTAGCCTGTCTTGTTCAATCTTTACCACATTCTTTCTCAGGCATTGTAGCACAAGACCCAGTGATTCCTGTGGACAAGACCCTCATTCCCTCGCCAAAGCCCAAGAATCCAGTGTTTGACAATAAGGAAAAGACTAAGGTGAAGAAGCACATTACAGTATCAGAGATTAAACGAATATTCTGGGTTCAGTACTATTAAAGCTTAATTAAATTGTGCCATTAAATTAGTTTCTTGCTTACAGTTTACAAAGCTACAATGGAACCTACAATTGAAGTGATACAACTTACAACTTCACTGGAGTTGAATGACATAAATGCTAAAATAATTGCTGTTTCAAATGTGTAGCCACAAATGTGTGTTAAAATGATTTTAGTCTGACAAGATTATTTATTAACCTGTTCAGGGAGGAGCTATGTCCAATTTTACCATTTTGTTGCTTTGACAACTTAAGGCCATAAAAATAATTAAAAATGGTTTTAGCTCAAATTTCAAAAACAATTTTTGCTCAAATTTCAACAGAAAAGTCAATGCGAATGCTTTTATGAAATAAAATGCCTTTAAAGGGGTCATATGATGCTTTTTTAGAGAGCATTATTTTGTGTTTGTTTTTATCGTTCATCAGCTGGAAAAAAAATCTTTCTGAAAGTGATTACAATGATATCGTTTCTCTGTGCCTTTATCGTTATAGCTGTGGTGTGAACTCTGCTATGTTTTAATATTGAGAACGATTTTTAGAACTATATCTTTATCATTATCTTTATAGTTATCGTGCTTGGTGTGAACGGGCCTTTACAGTTCTGCTTTTAACCTCTTGCTTAACTTGTACTGAACCTGGAATATTCTTTTATGGGGAACTGTTTTGACCACAATGTGAGCCAGTACATGTCTTGTAAAGTTTTAAACCATTGTCTTTAAAATTTAAAAAATTGTCCCTGCAGCGTCTTGCAGAACTTCTTAAAAGTAAAAAGCCAGAGGATCTTCAAGAAGCCAACCGCATTATCAAAAACATGGTCAAAGAGGTGAGGATTATTGGATAATTTTATACTTATGTATTAGTATTACTAATTTAAGAGAATATATGTTAGGAAACAAATATTTTGGGGTCAGTGACAAGTAAGAAAATAATTTAAAAATCGTGTTCAAATTAGGGCTGGGCGATTTTCCCGATTTTATCGATTAAAGCCCCGTTCAAACTACACAATTTTTTGTCGGTTACGACAGTCACTGTGTCAGATTATGTGATTTTGACTCATAAAATCTTGTCGTGTCGTGAACAAGAAACATGTCAGACTATATGATGCTACCTGACCATTCATCGCATGCCTTCATTAACAACATGCGTGCTGTCATCAATAGCGCGGGACAAGACAGAAGGTGCTATGAGCGTAAGCAAACAATGGCTAGGAAACAGCGTGTTTTGCCCTGTCTTGTCATCAGAAAAGCCCAAAAAAGAAAGAAACCCTGACAATGGACACAAATCTGGATGGCATGAAGAGGATGGTATGGACTGTCAAAGAGAACGGAGGTAAAATAGTTTTTATTTTACCTTTTTTCACTGTGTCGCGGTAGTCCCTCATCATAAATGCAGGAGTATTGTTGCCCTAGCTCCACGAACATTTTCCTCCATTGTAAAATTACACCTAGCAGGACCGATACCATTGTCTCCCTTTCGTTTCGGCATGTTTGAAAGCTTGTACAAAGGCACTTCTGTGCTCCTATTGGCGTGCGTCCCGACGCCCATTGTCGTATATCCCCACGACACCCTACGTCAAGCAGATCGTGGCAAAATCGTGTAGTCTGAATGGGGCTTAATTCGAATCGCAATTTTGAATAGAAATATTACCAAATGTTAGAATTAGTCACTTTGACAATATGCCGGTGATAACCGTAAAGAGAAAAGAACGATCCAACCGCATGTCGGCGCACGTGATTAACCGCTCACGTGTGACGCGCTCTGTGAAGGACCATAAA